ACAGAGAAAGTATGTGATCAACAGATCCTAAGATATTTACTATCTTCACTATCTGTCCCTTTTATAGAAAAGGTCTGCTGACCAGTGACTCCTAAAACAAACTCAGTAGGGATGAAAACTTAGGTCACGGTTCCTGAAAGTCAGAACAGACTATGGAAAACAAAACATTCATTTATCCCAGGAAGTAGATCTGCTAACTTAAAAATAAGAGAAATAAAATCATAAATTATGCTACTTCCTAAGACATCCATTCACGTAATATATATTCTCTACCAACAAGGAAAGTCTGCAACACTAAATTTTATTATTGAAATAAACACTGAAGATAATTGTTAAAATAGCAGGAATAGACTAATATTTCTCATTTATAATTTAGCAACATTAATGCATTTCAAAAAGCTAGATATAATTTGTATCAAATGCAAGGGAAAAAAACAAAAAGTCAAACTTATAACAAAAGCAAGCTGAGTTAAAGCAAACAACTTCTAGACAATATTTCTTTTGAAAATATGACCACAATATTTAATTGAATACTGCATCTACACTTATAAATCATTGAGCTTCCTCATGTCAATTTAGACATTTGCATATAATTTTGGATTTTAATTTTAGAACATATTAGAGATTTAAAGCTCCCATTTACAAACCAGGGTAATTACTTTCTCCAAACATTAAGTTAAATAGAAGTTAATTTATGATGTTTCTTCGGAACATTCCTGTGATGTAACAGACAATTAGTAAATACCTTTCTTCTTGGGCTGCAAGCATCTATTCTGTGACCAAAATAGCACATGATAGCAAAGAAAATGCAACGCCCAGGACAGGTCCTCTGGGACCTCCCACCCTGTTTAGGGAAGGGCCAGCAATTCAGGGGGAAGAATTCAGCTGCATCAAACCCGCAGGCCTAGCCTTTAGCATGACTTGCAGGCAAATGCCTGATCTTTACTACCCTGTGTTCAAAGTGGTGTTTAGGCTCTTATCAGTGCCCCCTTTAGACCCTGAAGGTCCTGAGCTTTAGAAGGCCTCTCCCGTGCAAGGAGCCATCAACAGGCGAAGGGGACAAGCCCGGCTGCAGCCAAACCCCATGGACCCCATAATCCCGAGTACCTGGGACCCTTGACTTTCCTGGTTAAATTGCAATATACTCGATTGCAGACCCTTCCACGGGCCCATTCTTTGGAAGGGTCCTACATAGGACTATGAGTGCACAGTCTACAGCCAGTGCATCACCAAGGGGCAGCTGTTTGGAGGGGTCAGTGGGCCTTGCACATGTGGGCAGGAGTGTCCGCACTGTGTACAAGGCAGGACAGGGGTGAGGTGGGAAAAGACATGGACTGGCTGTCAGGTAAGGACTGACTGCCCAAGTCAGCCAAAGTTGATGGTGTGTTAAGCGCTCACCATGAGCTAGGCGCTCTGGCATTGTCTTTTTTTAACCCTCCCCACCTGGGAAACGGAGGCTCACAGAAGTTAAGGTCTCTGAGCTGTTAAGCAATTGAGACTTGGGGACCTGGTCTTATAGGAATCCAAATCCATGAGATAATGAATGTCTGGGGGGAAAAAACATATTTTTAAAGATATACAAGGTCCTCCCTTTAAAAGTGGGGGGAAAGGCCTTATCTCCAGCACTAGAATGATCAGTTGACATATTAACCATACAAATATATATAAATAATAAAATGTGTATTGGCTTTTTTAGGTATAAAAATTTTTTTTTTCTTCTCTTGCCTCCTTAACAAGGGTCCAGGGAAAACTTAAAAATTAAAAAAAAAAAACAAAAAACCCACTCATTGATGAACTGAGGCCAAAATTAGAATTATGAAAAGAGCAGACTAAATTAATAAGCGTAGAAAACGACACTGAAACCTTCCCTTCCTCAGTAACACTGTTGGATGATAGGCTAGAACTGTCCAAGCCTTCTAAAAAGATTTTGGTCAACAGAAAAAACAAACAAAAACAAAACAATCAAACAAACAAAAAATCTTGATTTTTTACCTAGCTAAGGGCTGACCTAATTCAATAGTTTTCCGATGATAACTTGAAAAGAGTCAATAAATAAAATATGCCTTTCTGGTTGACTTTCCCTGAAATCTATGATTAATTGCCTTTCGCAACCGGCATATCACATTCAGCTCTGAAAAGAACAATTCTCATTACTTTTCTCAAGATGTTCTCGGGATAGATGTTCTTTTGGCTCTTTAACATAAGAAGTGGTTTTCTTAACTTTTAAAATTTATGTGTACTACATACTGTATAACCCATCTTAGAAACATTACTACGGGAAGAAATATGCCCTTGGGTGCACATGTACCCCCTACGCAAGTGAATGGGAACAGAAACCGGCCTGTTTCGGGCCGGCCATCGGGCCTGCAGGCCGTGGAAGACGGAGCCTCAGGGCAGGTTGCAGAATCCTGCTTCATCCTCTGCAGGGCTCTGAAGGAGGGACTGGAGGAGCTCTGCTCTATCAGAGGCAGTTTGGCTTCAGGGCTGCCTGAGGCCTGAGCACGGGCTCCACGGTCCTTCAGAATCTGAGCAAGAATCTGTGGTGGTAACGACCGGGTGGGGTCACTTTGAACAGCTCTGGAACGCAACTGCCCTCACCGTTTGGCCACAGAAAGGAGGGGCTGCTCCCCTCTGCCTTAGAATTACCACCCTAATTATTACATTATATTTTCATGAGCTAATCCCTTTATTTGCCTCGCTGCCTTTTTGGGGCTAAGCCACCCCATGGTGGGCTGCCTGCTGCTGTCCTAGCCGCGCAGCCTCACTGCATGCCACCCAGCTGCCAGCTTCAAGCCCAGCCAGGTGGGCCAGTCCAGAGTACTAATCTGGACAGTGACATCTCTGTCACCTGCTCCAAACCCGTGAAAGGTGCCCTCTCCAGCACGGAGCAGAACGGAGCATATACATCAATGCCAAGAATTGCCCTGTGCTCTGCCCTGTTAAGCTTTTGGTAGCGTTTCAGCATCCGAAGGAATCACCAGGCACAGAATTCCAACTGTTTTGCTCCAGTGATTGTTCAGTAAGGAACTGCTGCACAGCTATTAGTGTCTAAGCTGGGGGATTCGCCTCAACAACTCTCGGAATTTTTTTCAAGTACTCGTTCTATCTTTGGAAAACATACTAAGGTCCAAAGAGTGTAATCCATGCCCCACCCAAAAATATCTGGTTTTCCCTCAAGGCAGAAGACATTTGTATAAGGAATTCACCTCAACTTATCAATCTTTGGAAGCAAAGTTTTAGTAAAATGCATTTTGCTGTGTACAATGCACACCCACGTTTCTGTGTGCAGTAGGTACATATCATTATACCCATGTATAATGCGCATCCTTACTTCCCCCTCAAAAACTTGAGCAAAACGTGTACATTATATACATCAACATGTGGTAAAAAAATAAAGCACTGGCCAGCAAGGTGCCTGGCTCATCGTAGATTATCAGAAAGTATTTGTTGAGAAAGTTGGAGTGTTTTACATACTAAGAACATTCTTCATATGCCAGTATACACTGAATTTGTTAATTTATCCCAAAATATTTTCTTATTTTTGTGTAGAGGGACCCAGAGCTGTGTAAGCTGAGTTAACAAAATCAAATTGCCAACAATTTAAATTTTAGATACTCTGTAACTTCAGTGCTCTAATACTGTTGATAGTGGCTTGTAAGAACCAGCCATTTCATTCCCAAGTTTCGCAATTTTGTAAACAGGCTGAAAACTTTTTTTTCCAATGCCCCCAAATGAAGAAAAGCTTTGCATTTAGACCACCATTGTTTTTACTTACATGTGATTTTATACTTCATTTTATCCTTAAGCATTCTATGAGGCAGGTAGAAATGTCTTCAATTTATAGATTAAATAAAAGAAGGATACTTATAAGAAAATGCTGATAAAATATAGCAACAATGATCCAGAAAATATGAAAATATAGCTACTAAAATAATTAGATCCTCCGCCCTAACATGGCTTATGTTAGCTACAACTATGAAAGACTGAAAAGGTTAGGTTTAAATATCCACTCTGCTACGTAAGCGTTATAATGTCTTGAAAAACCATGCACCCTAAGTGACCCTTTGAATGGTGTGTTGGTCGGCCTCTAGTCAAGAAAGCTACGTAACAGAACACACCAAAGCATGCAGGAGGCAGTACAACCCACCCCACTGAGGACGGTCACTAGAGCATGCACTGCGACTGAGGAAGAAGGCCTGCCAGATGCACTTCCAAGAAAGTAGGGAATTATTCTATGTGCGCAGAACGAGCTTCCTGGTCGTCTCTGGATAAAATATTGAGAAGGATTAGAGTTTCACAAACATAATCTCGTTTGCACTTTAGAAGCTAGCTCATCACAAAGTCATGAAACTGATGCCAGCTGTGTCCAATAAGAGACCATGAGGTGACCGTGGTCAGTGGTAAGCCAGTGGCAACTTGGTAATAAGAGAGGGTGTTCCCCCACTTGGGTGAGATTCACCCCGGGGGCTTGGCAAACCCAAAATGCTGGGCCCCGCCCCGATCCTCCAGAGAGTCCGAGGGAGGTGACCTGGGATGAGGCCTGGGGGCTCACGTTTCTAACAAATTCCCAAATCCCGCTATGCTGAGAAGCACTGTTACAGAACACAGCACGCTGCAGGGTAGTGGTGCCTGACGTTGGCTTTACATTGAGGCAGTCTAAAGTATTTATTGTTTCCATGTATCAGTAAGGATAACAGAAGAGGTCAAAGCACTGCTAAGGCCATGGGAATCTGGCCAGTGCTTCACAGCCCTGCATCACTGTAAGGACAGCCATGGTCCTTGGTTTCCATCCTTGGAGCTTCCTGGGACAGTATATTCTATAAGTCCCCCACTACCAATTTTAATCTATTTCTATTTTGACCTCAAGATAGAACTAAGACAGTGAAACTTGGCTCCCAAGGTTAAGAACTAGGGAAACCAACCAACCAACCAACCAACCAACCAACCAACCATCAGGTGAGGCTGGACAAGGGTAAGGGATTCCCAGGTCCGAAACTAACCTTGAATCGTCCTCTTGAAGAACGCCTTGCAGGCTTCACATGATGCTACCCCGTAGTGGTACCCAGAAGCGATGTCGCCACACACCAAACACAGTCTCTTGGGCATCGAGTTGAGCATGTATTCGCACTTGGTCTGGGGGTCTTCCACAATGGTGCTGGAGCAGTCGTCATACAGTTTCCTGACTGGCCCGCTCCCTCCTAGGATCGGCGCAGAAGGGTAGAGAGGTGGCGAGTCAAGTCCGTTCTGGTGGCCATTCATGGTTGAACTGTAGCTCCCACTCGCGTCCGAAGAGCCACCGGGGCTGTGGTGGTTGACGCTGTCCGTCAGGGAGGCCGGGCTGGAGGGTTCCGTCTTGATGAAGGACGAACAGCTGGAATCAATGTGTCGATCTTTGTTTGACATTCTGCAGAGAAGCCTGCGATGCAGGGGGAGACACACAGAGGGAGAAAGAGAGACAGAGAGTCAAGCTCAGCGACCAAGAGCAGCAGAAGCAAAGAGAAGGTAAAACAAAATAGAGAAAGTGAAAAGGAAGAAGGAAAGGAGGAAAAAACCCAGGAGACTTCATACATTAAGGGCACTGCCCTTTGAGGGTGCTGCCTCATACCGAGCGACTCGCCATCACTCACGCTAGTCAATATCTCCTGTTGTACAAGAAGGCATTCAGCATACAGGCATGACAGGGTTACATAAAAGTGCCCGGGCAGCCATGAACAAAAGCTCCAACAGGTCCGATTCCTTTTATTTTACCTTTCTCTTGGAGAACCACCGTCAATACCAAAATCAGCCCTCTAGATTCTAAATTTATCCGTGGAGCAGGCGTGACTTGGAAAGTCCACATCATCTCTAAAATTGTATTTGTTTTTACTCTACTTTTCCTTTCCACTTTTGGACTCTGCAGTCACTTTACTGTGAGCAGAATCAAACCTTAATTTTCAAGCCTGAACAGATGAGTCTTCGGCTTTGCGATTACTGTTGGTCAGCAGGCTTCTGTAAGCATCACTGGGTCTTTTATTGATTTAAGACACATAGGGAATACATCCTCCATCACTTGGCTTCTTTATTTAAAAGGTTCTATTTTATAGACACTGAGCAATACAGAAAGACATCAAGTATGAAATTCTAGCTGATACCTAAGGATTACATCCTAGAGCCCACAAAATTTACAAAATGATGATCACCAGCATTGTTGAATGAATATGTTTGTGTGTGTGGTTGTGTTTGTCACTTGCCACTGGTGGAAAGGTGAATCAGTAAAAGTATTTGAGGCTATAGTATAGTATACCTCAGCGTCCATAAATCTGATATTTTATATGCAGCAAAGTAAGGTGTCAAATTCTGTACTAGAAAAAAACTGAGATTTGTGATGGTCCCTTTTTCTCCCCATCTTGTGGTCTTTGAACAGGATACCTTCTGAAAACAAATATGAACACCTATCATGACAACTTGCCTTATCTAGAAGAAACATACCGCCCATCTTTCTTTGTTGGGCACAATGAGGGATTCAGTTTCTGAAAAGGTAATTAGATGAAAAGACATAATTGGCCCTATTTTCTTCCTGCTCAGCCATAGTGCAAAACCCCTTTTAGCAATGTCTTTAAGAACCTTCTGAGAGCCCACTACAGAAAGAAGAGCTGACCATTGAGAAAGGGACTTAGGTAATTGCTTTGGAATGGCGAGCTGATTTATGGGAATCCCATAGTATCGGTCACTCACCAGAATTTGGGGGAATCCTCACAGGTTAGCTAGATGGATGCAATGATCTCTTTCACTATAGACCTAGTGATATGTTATCATGGCACAAATCTCACACTCTCCTCCACATCCCCTCCTCCACATCCCCCTTCCCCCACTGTTCTGTTACTTTAAAATGAAGGGAAGAAATGGAACTTCCCATCAGGAATGTTAACTGTTCCAAGCAGACCACCTCAAGAGCAATAAATTGCCTCTCAACCAATATATTGCATGTGAGACATTGTGTTCCACTTTCTAAAGTTCAGCAGCAACAGGATGTGAGAAAAGCAAACAGGAAGGAGAAAGCCCCCCGAAGATCTTGTCTGTTGCCCACCCATCTATGTTGTCCTTTCCACAAGAACTAGCAAAAGAAAACATCATCCCCTCGCCAGGCTGAACGAGGGTGCCCTGTCCTCCCGCGTCGGTGGCTTGTCCCCGTCACCGCTAATGAGCGCTGTAATTAATAGATCGCTCTCCCTCTCCCCCTGCTTGCACTCAGGGCTAAGCACTTTCCTCAAGTCAATGTGTGAAAGAAAGCGGGTCGGCGCTGACTTACAACAGCCCTGCAAATCCCTTTTAATTTAGAGCACTTACCCACCACACTTCACTTATTACCTTATAATTACTGGACTGCTCGCACATACATTATGATCTGAGACTAGAGTTAGAAGTTATTAGGGTACTAAAACATGGCTGTCCCCCTTCCTCTCTTCGGCACTGAATTTCTCACAGCTATGACAATTAACTCCTTTCGCGTCGGCCCACCAGCACCGTCTCTTAATTCCGCCCCCCCCACCCCAAAGGAGAGTTGCTGTGAGCATCTTCATCACAAAATGGGTACCATGTCTTCTTTATGCCTTGTTTTTTCTTTCTCTCTCTTCTTGCATCACCTATAGTCAATTTTTTTCCCCAATTTTCTCTCTCCTGGATTTTGACTCATAGAATCCTAAAATCTGCAGAACCCTTGTCTAAGGAACGAGGCCAGAGGGGACCCTCCCATATGGAGAACAGCTATTTGCTAAGTCACTTGATGCTTATGTGTCCAATGTGTGTTGGTAGAGTGCCTGAAAAATTGGGAGTCTCCAGTCAGCTCTCTCCTCCAAAATCACTGTCCGTAACTCGGCAATAACCTGGACGGACTGAAGGGCGCTCAGGAGGTTCAAGGAGCCCGGGAAGTCTCGGGCAACGGCACTATCTCCTCCTGTAAAAGGCCCGGCCACTTTGGCTGTGAATGAACATGAACAAACTAGATTTATTTTAAAGCCTTAGCACAGCTGCTTTTATTATTTTCATTTTATTATTTTAAGTTGCACATGTTTCTTTTCAGACATGAACCTCCTCCTTAATTAATACCTTTTGCCCAATTAAAATAGTACTAGCCAAGTCGCCATTTATCAAATGCCTATCAGGTGCCAGGCACTAACCTGAGAACTTCACAGAATATTACCAGGTTTAATCCTCAAGACAACCTTTCAGGGAGGTATATCACAGTTTAGGAAATGGTATCTCCGCAATTTCCCGAAAGTCATACAGCTAGAAAGTGGAAGAGCTGGGATTCAAACTCAGTCTGACTCCAAAGTCCAGTGCAGACCTGTCTTGATGCCAACAGAGGGATGTAAAAGGTGTTCACTGATTCTTGTAAAATGGCCAAGCAAGCAGGGGTGCAGCGTCGCATATGGAGACCGATTCCACCCACAGCTCAACCATGAGCAGAAAGGAGACCACGGGGCCACCCCACCAGCCCTGTTGAGTCCCCTCTCCAGTTGAGGGGGTGACGCCTGAAGCAGAATCTCTGGAAGAACACGGTGGCCTCCTAATGACTGCTTAGCTCATTACCCTGAATACTTCCTAGACACCATCACATTACACCCTAAAACTACAGCGGGTCCTAATTCTCTCCCCCTCTCTCTCTGAGATTCTATAGCTCTATTATTCAAGCCTGAAATATTCACAACTATCTATAAATTCAATTGTCAGCTGGTGGGTTTTATTCTAGACTTCACTTCAATCTAAAATTAGAGGCACTAAAATTCACATTAACTCTAAGAGGAATGTAGTGAATAAGACTTTATTTCAAAAGAACACCTTTTTGTCAGAAAGAGCCATTTTCAAGATGATGGCTTTATCTGCGGCCAAAGAGAATAAGCCCAGTTCCACATTGTGCTGTTAATGCAGAAATCTCCGGTCACATTGGATTAATAAAAATCTGAATTTAGTTAAGAATTATGAATAGAAATAACATGCTGAAAACGGTGGGGAATATTTATTTTAAAGCCTTAGTGTAGTTGCTTTTATTTTATGAGAAATGATGAGAAGCACAAGGGCCAAGGCTGTGATTTTCCAAAAACCTTCTCTCAGTGACCACCCTGAAAACCAACTGCAGGACAAATAACTATGTCAAAAAAAAAAACAAAACAACAAATCATTCCTGTATAAGAAACTACATTTGAGGGGTTTAAAAACAGCCTTCCTGAAACCAGAGAAAATTCTGGGCTTTAGAAAGCATTTTTAGCAGTTTGAGCAATGTGTCACATAATTCTGACTTTCATGCTTCACCATAGGAACCTGTTGCCTAGCCTTGCCTAAGGGTAGCATGGGTAAATTTTATATATGGTGTTCGATCCTAAGGATCAGGCAAATAAAACTTCCTGGTTGCTGGACTACCTAAAAATGTAATTTTTGAAAGTTAATTAATTGTGTGTATATATTTCCATGTACAGAGAGAAAGAAAGGACTCAAAGGTAATCTGCACGTTAATATTCAATTAACATTATAATTATCAAGCAAGCTTCATTGTTTTCTGGGATTCTAGCTCGATGCAGGTAAACGTGTGATCTTGAGTGAGTGGCTGTGAATGTTTGCACATGTGTGTACACATCTGGGGTCATCCACACTGCCCAGGAGTGACTTAAGCACAGCCAGGATTTCCATTGTTAAATGCTGGGATAACAATATTTCATAGGTTTATATATTATTATTTTAGTAATCAAAATATACGTTCTTAACAAAGAACTATATTTCATCTTTTGACTTTCATGCCAAATTCCAATGTATTTGCTACTTTAGTTCCCTACTTAAAAAAAAAGGTGCATAAAGTTCTCATAAGCAGTGTGTGTACACAGGTGTTCTTTGCTTTTCCTGATTGTAACACAGAGTAAGAATTTTTGAAACTTTTATTATACTTATTTCAGTGACAGACACCTTAAAAGGCTCAATGAGTAACAACAAGTCACTATTTTATTTTCTTCCTTAAGAGACAAAAAAGTACCCATCATTACAAATTCCAAACACATTATCAATTTACATCTAAAATTTTTATACAAGTTTACAAATACAAGAAGAGAGAGGGGGGAGAAGGAGAGGAAGAGAGAGAGACAGAGAGAGGGGACCTTAGCCCCTTTACTGAATTATAGAATTTTAGGACTAAAAAGAAAGGCAATCAGCTTCCGCAGCTAATCACTTACCTATTCAGAGTAGGAATGAATCTATAAGCATTGGTTAGTCTTCTACCTTCTGAAATCACCAGATAAAATATTTAAGTAATTGTGTTTTAAAAAATAGCATGTTTTTATTAGGTTATTTTGTTTTCTTTTAATGCTTTTGGAAATAACCCTCCGCCCTGAAGCTGCTGCTCCCTGTGGCCCAGGCTTCTGAGCCTAGGACCCCCGTGGCTCCTTTGCAGTC